TCAGATAATGATGTACGCAGTGAACCTTTAATGTTTGGTTGCATATTGAGAGCTCAAGAGTGAGTAGACAATTAATAGTTTTTTATCACCTTAAAGTTAATTATTGTAGAATCAATAGATCATGATGATTGGTTTAACATGTGAGTTGGCAATAATAATTTAGGCAGTAATTTGTGATAGCCATTCACTCGTCAGCAGATAGGGCCTACGCTGTGTTGCCCAGCGAAGAAACATGATTTAGCTTATTGTGTAGTTCATTGATGATTTGATGTTTAATACAGTATAATCATTTTGATTGTGATGAACACTTAACTGTTAACGGCAGTTGATTATATACAATGTTAAATACCCAGTATACATGCGGAATAGGCAAGTTAAAATATAATTACTAGTTGTGAGTGAGAGAAGATGGTTTAACTTCTGTCGTCCACCGCACTGTTACTACAACGTTACTCGCTAGGGTAGTCGTCACGCTTGAGTGATTTAGTATGCCGTTGCTATGCCAACGAGCTGCATAGTTAAAGCCTATGTTGTATTTTTTTGTATCTTTACAGATTTCGAATATCTATATATAGATTAATGATATTACCGGTCATTAAAGTTTGAAATTGAGTTGACAACAACCAAGTGAGGACGCAGTGTCTTATTTTTGTGCTTTACAATCACTAAGCTTCTTCTTTACAACAAAAGGTCCTGAATACCTAGCCTGTAATGGATGGTTAGGAATTGGAAAAAAGGGCTAGAACGTTATCCCCTGTATTAAAGTTCCTATCCTGAGTTTTACAATCAAAACTAGTTTTCATCTTAGACAGGCCTCAGTAAGTTTTTGTCTAAAACTTGAAACATACTCGACAAGATTTACAATAGAAGAGCCATCAATCAAAGACTTTTTAAGGGCTCGCAAAGGGCCCCGCACAGAGTGTCCAAAGTCAAGATCAAAAGGGGTAAAGCCCAGAGAATCCTGAACAGATTTTCGAATAGCAAACAAAAGCAGTGGCACCCCCTCATCTCAATTTTTCTCATTATCAAGGCAGTAAGTCCGCATCATGTTCTTTAAGGTTTGATGGAACCGCTCTGGGATTCAGGGTGATAGGCACTTGATTTCACTTGGCTAATTTTTAGCTCATGCATTATTTGTTGGAAAACCACTGACATAAAATTTGATCCTTGATCAGATTGAATTGTAGTAGGAAGGCCAACCCAAGTGAAAAATTTGACTAATACTTTTATTATGGTCTTAGCTTTAATATTTATGAGGGGAAGGGCCTCATGGAATCTTTTAGAAGCGCACATAATAGTTAAACGTATTGATTCCCTGTCCTAGCTTTTGGAAGGGGTCCAACACAATCTATAAGGATTCGACTAAAAGGTTCTCCAAATGCTGGAATGGGCTTGAGTGGTGCAGCAGAGATCTTTTGGTTTGGTTTCCCTACTACTTGTCATGGGTGACAGGTTCTACAATATTGGACAACATCATTTTTTAATTTAGGCCAATAAAAATAGTCAAGTATCTTTAGATAGGTTTTGTTAATACCTAAATGTCCACCTAATGGACCATCGTGTGCTAAAGAGAGGATTTCCCTCCGATATGGTTTCGGTACCTTAATTTGAATCAGCATCCTCCAATCTTCATTGGAGGCCGTATCAAGGGGTTTGCCATTTTCGCATTAAAACCCCATTTAAAAAAAAAAAAAAACACTCACAGAAGGAAGAAAATTCATCCTCCTTTATGGCATTTTTAGCCAATTCAGCAATTTCTGGGTCGCCCACCTGCTCAGCAATCAATTGCTCCCTTGTTATTGTTGATACACTCGGCTTATTGCCTGTACTACAAGTATCAACATTAGGGATTTTACCGTTAAACTCAGAAGCAAGGAATGTATCCCCAAGATCCACCTCCTTAGATTGCTTGCTCATAGAACGCGTACCAGCGCACACAGGGAATAAATTAGGATTACCAGGATTGGTTTCGTCCTCAAGAGGGACCTCACAGACAATTGGGTCTGCCCTCACCTTATCCCCAGCTAAATCATTCCCTAACAGTAAGGTGACGCCCGCAAATGGAAGTTCATGTCGAACACCCATTTTAACAGGTCCAGTAACTAAATCAGACTGAAGATAAATATTATGAAGTGGTAGGTTAACAAAACTCAATTCAATCCCTTGCAGCAAAACACTATCCCCTGAAAGGATTTGTGAGCTAAGGGAAGTATACCCTCCAAAAGCAAGGATTGAGATGCACCTGTATCTCTAAGGATTTTCACAGATTTAGGGTTAGCATTGTCCCCTACAAGTGACACAAAACCTTCAGACAAGAAGGGGGTGTACCCATCAAGCACATACGTGTCCAAGCATTTTAAGTCAGATTTGACCTTTAAAACCTCAGCAGCCTCACACTCATCGTTTGGCTGTTTGGCCGAAATAAAGCCAGAAGGCTTATTTGTAGCTTCCCTTCTTTTTAAGGCAAAAAACTTAGACATAATATGTCCAGCCTTTTTACAATAATGACAACTAGGACCAGAGTGCTTGTCTCCTGACCCCTGTAAAAACTTAGCTCCTGATTTATTATCTATGGTCTTGGAATTGACAGGTATAATAGTTGTAGGAGAACCATGACTTAATTTAACATTTACACCTTAATCTGGCTTGGATTTTGAGGCAAAGGACAGTTTATGTGTTAATGCATAATCGTCAGCCGCTCTAGCAGCCTCTTCTAATGAGTTTATCTTACAGTCATCCAAGTGAGTACGAATATTAGGATGTATACAAGATTTAAACTCTTCAAGCAACACTAATTGCCTTAGCGTAACAAAGGTTTGTGCATCTTTAGAATCATACCATCTATTAAATAATTCCTCTTTTTTTCTGGCAAACTCTACATGAGTCTGAGCCACATTTATTCGGAAGTTCCGAAATTTTTGGCGATATGCCTCAGGAACGAGTTTGTAGGCGTTAAGGATGGACTTTTTCACTAATCCATATTCAGCAATTTGGCTGACGGAAAGGGCAGAGTAAACGTCCCTGGCCTTCCCAAATAATACACTCTGCAAAAGGAGTGTCAATTTATCTTCTAGCCAATTCATACTTTGGGAGATTTTTTTCAAAATGAAGGAAAAATTTATCAACATCATCCTCCTTAAAAGGAGGTACAAGGCGGAGATTTTTGTTAACATCAAATTTAGGTGTATGTACCTCAGTTTTAGTCTGAGACTTTAGCTCTAATTCCTTAAGCTTAAATTCATTATGAAGTTTTTCTTTCTCTAGCTCCAAATCATTTTTTCGTTTTTCCTTCTCTAGCTCCAAATCATTTTTTCGGTTTTTTTTTCTCTAGCTCCAATTCCATTTTGAATTTTAATTCCAATTCTTTAAGTTGCCATTCGCTAGAACTAACTGGTGTAATAAGTCCTAGAGCATTTTCTTCAACAATATCCTCATCAACTAAATGCTCGATAATAGTCGCCCGAATCTCCTGCTTCCGCATAGCAGAAGTAGTTGCAAGCTCAAAATGTTTTGCTATATCTAAAAGTTCTACCTTCTTACATTTTTCTAAAACATCTAAGGATGGCGAAGCAACAAATTGTTCCAAAACAAAGGCCATGGTTTTCCTATGTTATTAATTAAAAATCGCAAATCACAAAATACAAATTAAAAATTAAAGTTGTGATCGTTTCTTTCCCAGACGAGCCCCCAATTTCTGTTACATGCAAAGCACCAACAGAGAATAGGAAACACAATAGCTTAGTATTATATACAATATGTACATTTATTAATAAAAGCATAGATACATTATTATAAAAGAGAACAAAAATGATGGTGGTAAAACGCAATTAAATACTTTAAGATGCTCGAAAACTTACAGATATAGCTAAGCCCACGGCTAAGTAAGTTGGATCAAAGACTGGTGTCCGAGACCGGCAAGGTCTATAGATAAACTTAATGAACTACGGCAGACTTGTAATAAAGTTAATGATAACTTTAGAACTTTTGGGACTGACTAAATGATAGGATTGTACCCCATTTTATACATTTATGAACAGGATATGTGGGGGAGATTATTATGACATCACCACATAACTTTAAGATGAATTTACTAACTTTAAGATGAATTTTGGAATGACATCATCTCCTTAAGGATGAAGTTGTAGATGACATCATCACACAACTCAGATTCAACAGTCCCTTAAACTTATTTGGAATATTAGCCAACAGGTGATTCGGACAACAAAATTTATGAGGGGCACTTTAGGACGAACTTTGTACATGCATTCTACAATATGGCTAATACAGTCTAAACTATTACAAAGTATAGTAAAAATAACATAACAGTATTTAACATTGTATTATAGTAAAATAAATGTATTAGGTATAACCTAACACCTAACACATAGTACGTAGACTTTAAATCAGGTTGTAATCAATTTACATATTATTTTCATCTATAGTATATTCATTTCATCTATTCACTCACCCACCCACCCTACCCACCATGTCTTTGTTTTTATTTACTTTGTTGAATAGTATAAATACTGAATCATGCTTAGTGGGTATGTAAGTTGTGCCTAGGCATGACATGGCTAATATAGGATCTGATCCAGCAA